TTTCCCATTTTGTGGGTTGTCTCTTCACTCTGTTAATGGTTTCCATTGCTGTGAAAAAGCTTTTAAATATGGTATCAGTAATATTTCCTGTGCAGTCAGTTTATCAAGTCTTTGCCTACACCTATGTCTTCAAGAATTCTACCTATTCTCTCTTTCAACAGATTTAGTGTTTCTGTTTTAATAGATTTTTGATTCAGATTTTATTTTGGTACACGGCAAGAGATACGGGTGTAGGTTTAATCTTCAGCATGTGGAAAGCCAGTTTTTTCAGTGCCACTTATTAAAGAGGCTGTCTGTCTTCCAATGAAGCTGTTCGGCTCCTTTGTCAAAGATAGGGTGGCTGGGCATCCTTGTTTTTTGTGCCTCTCTTATTCTGATCTGAGCTGGGGTTTTTTCCTCCCAGCACCATGCTGTTTTTATCATGCTGTTTTATCACTTAGTACTATAATTTCAAGTCAGGGATTCGGATGCCCCTGCCTTGCCTTTGTTGCTTTTAATATTTTAGGTCTCTTCTGGTTCCAGATGACTTTTAGGAATGTTTCCTCTAATTCTATGAGGTATGTGGTTGATATTTTGATTGGAATTGCAATAAATCTGTGTAACAGTTTTAAGTCTGTGTAATAGTCATTTTCACTGTATTAGTTTGCCTTACCCAAGAAGGGGTATCTTTCCATTTTCTGATGTTCTCTTAGAACTCCTTTTTCAAAGTCCTGTAGATTTCAACATACAACTTCTGTTGTTAGACTGATTCCTAAGTATTTCATTTTTCTTCTTGCTACTGTGAAAGGTGCATTTCCCCTAATTTCTCTTAATGAGCTTGTGATTTATATACAAGAATGCTATTGACTTTTGAGTTTTGACTTTGTATCCTGCTATGCTAATGAATTTGGTTAATAAATCTTGAAATCTTTTGGTGGCATTTTGGGAGTCTTCTATGTAAAATATCATGTCATTCACAAATAATGATAATTTACCTTCTTTTCTTATCCTTATGCTTTTTCTTTCTTTCTCTTGTCTAACTGCTCCAGTAATGTTTTCATAATTATATTGAAGAGGATTAGTATAGTGGGTATCCTTGTCTTGTCCTTGATTTTAGAGTGAAAGCTTTCAATTTCTGATCATTTAGTATGTTGGTTGTTGGTTTGTTATCAGATTTTTTTTGAGACAGGGTTACACTATGTAGTTCACACTGACCTTAAACTCACTATGCAGCCCAGGCTGGCCTGGAACTCATAGCAATCCTGTCTCAGCCTTCTAAGTGCTGGAATTACAGGTGTATGCACTTGGCCAAATTTGTTCTTCTTCAATAATGTGTTGGTATTCTGGTTCTTTTGGCTCTTTAGACTTCCGAGACAGTATGTCACTATCCTCAAATAGCTTGCTAGAATTGTGATTGAGGTTGTACTGAATCTATAAAACAAGTTGAAAACTCTTGATAATATTGAGTCTTCCTATCCATGATCATGGAATCTCTCTCCATTTGTTTTTCTTTGATTTCTTTCCTCAGAATTTTAGTTTTCCTCATGTAGATCTTATACATATTTTGTTAGGTTACTATCTAATATTTCATTTTGGGGGATGTTAATATAAATAGTTGGCATGGTTTTTATTTGTTTTTGTTTGCTTGTTTTTTGTCTTTTTGAGACAGAGTTTCACTACTATGCAGTTCAGGTTGGCCTTGAGCTCATTTTGTAGCCCAGGTTGGCCTCGAACTCAGAACAACCTTTCTGCATCAGCATCACAAACTCTGGGATTACAGACATGTGCCACCATACCAGTTTATACTGTGTTCTTAATTTCAAAATTTAATTGCTCATTTCTGCTATATAGGCAAGCAATGGATTTCTGTATATAAGCCTTCTATCTATCCTTCAACTTTGCTATAATTGATTACCAGTGCCAGGACATTTTATTGCCAAGTCTTTCAGATATATATGATCATGTTATCCTCAAAGAAGATAGTTTTATTTTTTCCTTCATGATTAATATAACTTTTATCTTCTTTTGTTGTCTTACTGCCACTTTTTTTTTTTTTTTTTTTTTTTTGTCTTTTTCATTTTTATCAGTACCAGGGATCGAACTCACAACAGCCTGCTTGTAAGGCAGGTGCTTATGCCGCTGAGCTAAATCCCCAGCCCCACTGCCACATGTTTTTCCACAAATAACTTCTTTATTATGATCAGGGTGATCGAAAAATGTAATGAACAAAAATTAGAATTTTAGAACAAAAATTACAATTATTTGTCCAAATATTACCCCATAATTAAATTAGGATAACAAGAGTGAGCCAGAACTGTCCTGGCAATCCAGATGTAAGGTCACTCTCTCCTCTGAGATTACCCTCCTTTTCACCTCTTTGATTTCATTCCTTTGTCTCCACTGGCAGCTGCTCCACCCACAAACACTCCCAGGCCCTCCTTAAAGTTTTGTTTTTACACAGTTTCATCATTATCTCAAGTTACTATGCTTTCCAGTTTCACAGTCTGAATAAATGGAGTTCATACTAGCTCTGTTTTCCTATTTTCTTTTCATGCAGGCCTGGGCAGGTGCCCAGCTGACCTCTATATCCACTTTGCTCTTCAAAGGCTACTGCCACTGAGCATTTCTAAGTCTTCAACCTCAGCCCCTCCACCTTATCAGGGTTCTCCAAATTTTTCTTCCTTATCTTTCAGTATCCTATCTTTCCTTTGTTCTCATCCTGTTTCCTCTCACTGTCTTGACTCCTTCCTTTTGTTTCCCTCTCAGTCCATAGAGACCGGCTTTCTCAAGACTCTGTCCTCTTTAGTCTTCTCACTCACACACCCTGACCATGCTCACTGGTTTCCCAGCCTCCCTTCAGAAGGCCCCATCTCTTTTTAATGGCTCACATCCATCTGGATAGTTCATATGCACCAAAGAATTAACATATCTAAACCCTCACTCATAATCACCTCCATTAATGAGACAAATACTGACTGTCTAAGCATGGCTTGCAGATGCTTCCGCAGTGGCCCTGCTTCTATTTGAACTCCTGTCAGTACCATCCTGGATTACTCAGTTTCTACCTTGGATTTCTCCCTCACTACCACATCGCATTAGCCAATAAACTGTGCTGTATTTACATGTACGTCTCAGCTATCTACCAGATCCCCACTCATTTAGGTTTTCATTGCTTTTCTTTCAGAGGCTATTTTAAGTTTCCTAACTGAGATCCTAGGCTGAATGGAAACAGATGAATTTCAAAGTATGGCACTTTTCATCTTATTTCCCCACTTAATTAATGCATCTTTGATAGTTCTCAGCAGGCTCGTTGGCCTACAGCACTTAAGATGCTTCACAACGTGCTCCCGTCTTCCCAAGCAGTCTTCTCTCCATTAACCTCTCTGAAAGCTGCTCCTCAAACTCTAGCTTAACCACATTTTTCTCCAATCCTGGACACACACATATACCCTTTCCTTCAAATTTCAGTACTGGGGCTGGTCTCCAAATCTCTGCCAGTCGAAGCCTGACCAATTCTTTAAGATCTTTTTCAAAATTCCCTACTTAGGTCTTTCCCAATTTATTTGGGAATCTTTGAAGTCTGAAAGTATTTTCTTTGTGTCTAACAGTTCTTCCATGTAATATAAATTTTGGTTACCTTTTTTACCAGTCTATGTGACTCTTAAGCCTTTCAAAGAAAGGGTGTCTATGTCTGATTAAATCATATGCTCCTTGTAGAGTGCTGATAGTTTGTAAGCCAAAGGAAGAATATTCAGGTTAACCCTTTATCCCTCATATACCATAAAATAGTGAGAATGTACTTACCTGCATCAAAATTAATTAAAACAAGTTCTTAGGAAAACCTAGAAACTAGTTATTTTTTGCAGTTCTTTTTATTGGTTCAAAGATACAGGGATTAGGGCTGGGGATTTGGCAGAGATCTTGCCTCGGATACACCAGGCCCTGGCTTTGATCCCCAGCACCACTGGGGAAAAAATAGCAAAGCTATAGAGATTATTTTTTAAACAAAAATTGTGGAATATACATTCTTAATTGGCTCATAAAGCCACAGAGTTGAACAAGACCTTGGAGATCATTTAATTCTCCTTTCCACATCTTAGTCACCAATCCCATGGCCGAGAAAACTCAAACTTTGCAAGAGTAAACTGACTCCCATGATAACATCAGTGTCATAGTCATTTACTAAGGGCCTTCTTTACACCAGACCATTGATACATTATGCCAGTCTCACAACAGCCTTCAAGGTTGGTGGCAATGTTCTCTACTTTAGAGATGACAGAACTTGCCAAAAGGTTATGTGGCTTGCTGTGGAGACTAGAGCTTATTAGAGGCAGAGCTGAGTTTCAGTTCAAATTACATCTGGTTGTATAGATAGGTTTTTCTATTTAATACTGTGGCAGGTTCAAAATGTACTTGACATTCTGACTCTTGTCTTATACTATTTTTGTAAAAAATAATTACGTCAGCTAAGTGAATATGCATAATTACAAGTTTTAAGCTGATTTTTAAAATCTTGGAGACAAGAAAATATAACAGTAACTTTATTATTATAAAAGTTATAAAGCTATTTACTACCAAAATTCTGATTCTTTGTCGGGAAAAAACCCTTCTTTGAATCTGGAAAAGAAATATAATTTCTTGCTTTTCACTTTTAAAATTTTTATTCAACCACATTCAGCAAGTAATTGTTCATCCTCTAGATATTTAAAGGATATGGGCAAGTACAAAGCTAAATAAGGCCTGATTTTGCTCTCCAAGCAAAAGCAAGAGGAAGATAATCTACTGTCAGGAACCATTCCTCTCCACCTAAGAGAGCTCAGCCTAATTTGGGGCTTCCAACAATGTAAGTCCCAGAGTGAGTCAGGATTCTTGGTTCTAATTTCAGCCCTGAGTCTTCAGCAAGTCATCTCACTGTATCTTGGTTTCCTCAGTAAATGTATGGCAAAAAGGTAAGAACTATGTCAAATAATTTCAAAGTCTCTTTCCGCTCTAAACTCTGTTTTCTCTAATTCATTCTTGAGATTATGCTTCTGAAAGTGATCACAGCTACTACTATGGTAAGGAAATTGAAAAGTACCTGTTCTTCTTTAGCAGTGACTTTGTGGAAGTACTGAGTTCTAAAAGTATTGTTTCATTAAGCCCTACGGTTGAAATTGATCAATATGTTTCCAAGGTTTGTCACATATAATAATAAAAAGTTTATCACAGTTATTCCTCTGCATATTAAACACTACATTCAAATCCTTCTATTGTGTAGCCTTAATGTAATACCTTACTATTTATTTAAGATGTTTAAAACAATCTCAAACAACTACTTAGCTACTCTTCTGTGGAGCTATCAACAATCAACTTGGGTTAAGGCCTCTGCAGAATGAATTCTGTACTCATTTAGTTAAATTAATAGTTCATATAAATTGCCACTACTATAGCTCTTCCCATACTGCAGCTAAATTTGAGATTGGCTCACAGGTAACAGGGAGAGAGGAATATAGAAAGATCAGTATTTCAAATGAATGAAAGCATAGGAGTGTGAGAATTTTATTCTGCTGAACCTACTTCCATATCACTTTTTTCAACCAGCAGATATTTTTAATCATTTATGAACTGATAGAGTAATGAATAAACTTTATTTTGGCAAAGATCCACATACCTTTGCTTCTTTCTATTAAGCATTTTAGGATAGGATGCTTAACCCAGATTGTGCTGCAAACTAATAGCACACAGAAGAAAGTAAGTAAATCAAAAGAAAATGAAAGGAAAATTAGACCTGTATCACCTTAGTGACTTGCCCACAAAAGGTACTGAGTTTTAACTGTCAAATATAGTCCTGCCAAGAAACCAAGAAAAGAGAATTCATTCATTAGTCAACAAACACTGAGCGCCTACTATATGCCAGGCATTGTTCCAAACGTTAGGGTTACAGCCATGAACTGGCAAGCCACCCACCACAACCCCCCTCCCCAGTCTGAGTGGCGTGCTTACACTCTTACAGTAAGAGAGCAGACCTTAAAGAACCCTGGGCAAAATAATGTCAAACTGCGATTAAATTTGATAAAGGAAACAAAATAGTACTTTGTGGGTAGTTTAGAAAGGGTCAAGAGGTAAGTAATATGATAAAGAGGGCTTGGATGGGTAGATGCCACTTGAATGCCCTGTAAATAATGAGAAAACTTTACTGTTGGTAGTGGACATGTAGTGTGGGGTGGGAACAAATTAACGTTTAAAGGATAGTAACTGTGGGGGAAACGTCTGTATTCGTGAATGGCAAACTAGGTTCTTTGAGAATTTAACGGGGGTAGGAGTTGAATTTCATCTTTAAGACTGTCTACTAAAGCTTTACGTGCTCTTAAGATTCATCTTCCTTTAAAATTCTGCTAATTTACTTGATAGTTAAGTGGTCACAACTACTAGAAAGATTCTCTCAGAGTCCAATGCCTGCCTCCCTCGCTCCATACCATCCAAATTCTGAATGAGACGGACCCAGTCTCTCTCCAGCGAATCAGCGCTGCTCCACCGACTCACGAATGTAGCCAGGTGGAATCTTGTAGCCCTTCCAGAAAAACCCGAACTCGGCTTAGGGCAAATTGGGGAATTTGACACCCTTAAAGTTAGTGTGGAAGTAGGGGGTGGGCGCCGCCCTTTGGCAATAACTCTCCCCCGCCTCTTCAGGCGTCATCACTGCAAAAGGGCCGTGCTCCCGGGTCAGAGGCACACGGAGAGGACACGCGCGTGTGTGTACCCCGCATGAATCATCCGAGCTCGGTCCGCGGGGCGATGATTCATTCACCGCCCTGGAGCACACAGTCACCCGTTCGGGCGTACTCTGACGGCCGCACACGCAGCTTCCTTAATATTAAATGTTTTAAAGTACAAACGCCCGGGTCTGAGTCGTGTGCAACCAGGCGAGGTGGCGAAGAAAACACCGCGCGTTTCGGCCGCTGCCCGAGCGTCCCTGCAGCCCACGTACCCCAGCCGGCACGCGCGCGGGCGCCGCCCGCAGGGGGCGCGGAGGGCGCACAGGTGGTCCCGCCCGGCCTGCCTGCGACTCTCCCGGCCCCTCGCGGAAGGCCACCGCGCCCTCGCCGACGCGCCTCCCGCTCGCTCCGTTCCTCCGGGTGACATCTTATATAATAACCCGAGCGAACCAAAACGGAAGCGGTGCGCGCCGCCGGGCCCGGCTCCCGGCCGGGGCAGACGCTGGCGCTCCGAGCCCGCGGCCCCTAACCAGGCGCCCCGACGCGCGGCTCCCGGGCGGGAAGGGCCCGAGCGCCGGCTCGCATCGTCCCTCCTCCGCGAAGGCGCTGCTGTCGCCGGTCCCTGTCAGGAAGCCGCGAGCGTCACAAACTGCGTCAGCTTCTTAAACACATTTCATGGTGTCCCTCAGCTCGGGGGCCGCTGCCCGGGGTCGGGCCGCTGGCAGTCACCCCTGTGGGGACGAGAAAGTTCCGCGGGGCCCTCCCCGCGCCCGCGCGGCGCTCCTCTCCGCGCTCCGCCGCGCAGCCCACGGCCCCCGCCGGCCGCAGGTCAGGCAACTTGGGACCCGCGGCCCGCGCAGCCCCGGCCCGACAGCCGTCCGCGCCGCCCCGACCGCCCCCCTCGCCCGGCCCGAAGGGGAGCAGCCACGCCAGAAACTTCCCGGGCCGCGCCGGGCGGGCGAGCCGCCGCGGTCTCCGCGCATCGCGCCTACCTTCTCTCCAGAGGCCACGATCCGGGCGGGCCGCGCGGGGCGCGTGGTCCGCGAGCGCGCGCGTGTGGGGCGGTAGGTGAAGGAGCCCGCGCCGGCGGGGGCGGGGGCGGGGCGGGGCGGGGGGCTGGGCCGCGGGCGGGCGAGAGGAGAGCGGAGCCGGCGGCGGCGAAGGCGACGGGCGCAGGGCAGGCGCGCCAAGGGGGCGGAGGAGTTGCCGTGGGTTTGTTTACGCATTGCTGCCCGGCTCGGGGCACAGCCCGCACTCCCTGATTGGACACAAACTGGGCCACAGCCTTTCGCCGCCGCCTGCCGGGCCTCCTGGAACCGTCGCTGCGCAGCTCCCGGAGCGCCTCCCGGTCGTGGCCCACGGCAGTGTCCAGGCGTGGAGGGGACGAGGGCGGTGGCTGTCCGGGGCCGCCGTGCAGTCAAGCGTTCACCCGTGGCTCTCGGTCTCCCACCTGTAGTGGCCCGACCTTGGCAAGGAGAAACTCAAAACTTAACAAGCTGCAGACTTCTTACCATCTAGCTGCAAAAAGGGACAGCTCTGTACACCCTACCTCTCTCCCCTTGCGTGAGCACACACCGCTTGCCCTTGGACAGATAAGCCACTAAAATGACACTGTGTCCCTTTGGAGATGCCCAGGTTGAAGCTTCCTATAAAAGCTGCCCAATTCTAGCTTCTCTGTTTCTAATCCAGCTTTCCCAGTAGCAGTCGAAGTTGCCCTCCCAGAAATGACCTTGCCTCTGATATCTCAGATGACTCCATGGAGCCTAGAACTCCAGTAGCTTAGTCTCAAACTGCGCTTTAACCCTCCACTGCCCAGTTGCCACCCCAGAGCCTCTATGTAAACACAATACCCTCCAGTGCCTTTTTCAGACTCTCCAATTGTATTCTGTTATGTCTTGTGCTGGAAAACCTCATAGCTCCTTCCACCTGTCAAATTGTCCTAGACTCAGCTTCTCTGCCATTTCGGTGCATTCCAGAAGCAGAATTCCCTTTGTGGCTGGCACCAGTCTGACCAGGATCAGTTGTATGCCTCTGCCCTTTACCTGGTGTTAACAGGGATCTGGTGATGGGAGAAATGAAAACTTTAAGAATAATACTGTATTGTCTCTCTATATCTGCGGCTCTGCTGGGACTGCAAAAGTTCTACTCTTATTAAGAAAGTTTCCTGATCGACTTTACCTTGCCCAAAACAAGTACTTCCAAACACTGAACTTGCCCTCCATTTTTTCCCTATGTCTCTGTATGTGCTCCCCCCTCACCTAACAATGGGCCTGCGTAGTCACAATGGGCCCTTAACCCTTGGAGGAATAAAACTGAATTCTGTAGAGATGTTCCTTAAGCCAAGGCTCATGATCAAAGTGAATAAAACAAGTCATGGAGGAATAGACATGAATTGAACCATTTTGTAGATAATTATCTAGGCTAAAGCCGCTCCCCAGTTCTACAGCTAGTGTGGATTTGTCACTGATCAAACTTCTAATGTGCTTTCTGGATGGACCCCAGCCCTTCTTGATGCCTGGCATGGCTGGCTTTCTTTCTCTAGATGTGCTGCTTGTGGTCATACTAGGAAAGCACATTTAAACTCCGGAGGTGATTCCAAGTGAAAGTATTCCTTCCAAGATTATTCAATAGTGATAATTTAATGCAGCAGATTAATTGCAAAAGTACTGAAAGAACTACAGTTGCATCCAGGGAAGGGTGAAACAATCTTGAGATTAGCAACTAACTGCTGGGAGCATCTCCTCCCTAGAGTTTTAGGAAAAAGAGAGGAGGCTGTGAGAAGCTGAATCCTTCCTCCAGGAGAAGTGGAAGACATGAGGGAAGTCTTTCCCCTACAGAGTCTCTTCTCACCCCAGTTTCATAGGCAAAGAGCCACATAAGATGCAGCCTTCTTCAGCATGGATATGCCCAGCTTCCTATCAAGACAATTAGATTAGGAATAACCATTGTGTTACTCTTTCAGACACTGTGTTAAATATTTTGCATACATTGTCTCATCTAATCTTCATTTTGCACCTCTTATCCGGGTACCACTGGATATAATTTGGTGGCTTCAGTCTCGATAACATAAAGGTTTTGTTTGTGTGTGTGTCCAGTAACTTTGGGGGCAGTTCTCTGACTTTGTGTTTCCTTCTACCGTCTACTTTATTTTACATTTTTTCCTTTTATTAGCACAGATACTTCTAAATCCTAAACTCCAACAGTCTGATCCAAACCTTCTCATTCTCCATAGATTGGTAATAACTACTTGGATGGCAGAGGGCTTTTGAAGTATGGTTCTTTCAGAGCACTAATCCCACTTAGAAGAACTCTATACTCGTGACCTAATCATTTTCCAATGTCTACATTGGGGTTGGGAGTTCAACAGATGGCATTTGAAGCGACAAGATTTAGGCTGTTGTAAACAGGTAGCACAGTTCTTGGCCTATACACAGTACTTAGTAAATGAACACAGGCAAATATTAATATTTCCTATGGCCATCCACCTGGTAAATACTACAGCCAAATCAAGTCTCTCAAGTTTCTAAGTCTGAACTGAGCATTTTTTGCATTATGTAAAGTTATGTCTTATGGTTTATATTTAATGCCATCTGTGAAAATATGGTTTTCTTCTGCTTGGCTGTTTAAAGAAATTCTCAGTTATCTTTCTAGCTCCAATTCCTTTACATTTCCTGCTTCCTGCTCCTGCCAGATTTGGTTTCCCCCACCACCCTCAGCAATGTTAGCATACTATGAAGTTCTGGGGAGGCGGAGAGCATGGAAAATTAACCTCACACATGCTAGACAAGTGTTCCCCTAATCCTGCCTCTTGTATAACGAAGTATAGCCACAGAAAACTAATGAACAACCCTTTATCTCTGTTTTAGTTTGTAACTGAGAGCTATTATTTTGCACAACTTCATCCTTGAGCTTTACTTGTTGAGCAATATAGAATAATAATGAATTACTTGTATAAATATTTTAAAATTCCTAAAGTAAAAATGTTAAAAGCAGTGATAGTTGGGTGGATGTACTTCTCAGAGGTAGAATAAGGTGCTGAATCCGTAAGTTCTGCCCCCAAAGGCCTCTTCCAAAAAGGTGGAGGTCATAGAAAAAATTTAAAATTTTGTTGTGTTTCTAGCTAAAGCTTTAAACTTTTGTTATATTTATATCTAAAGTTCTCTTCCCCCTGAGACTTTTCAGTTTCAATTGGTTAAATAACTTGGGATTGGTGGCTTTAGGAAGGCCAACATTCGGTGGGGAGGACAGTGCTGGGGATCAAATCCAGTTCTTGTTGTGTAGTGATTGAGTGATTTAAAATAAACGTTTTCAAAATTAGAACTTGTCATTGGTGTCCAGTCAACCATATAGTTTACAAATTCTGATGTGGTAACATTTTACTAATGTACATTTCAAAGGACCAAAAGAAATCATTGGAGTAAAGGAATTTGAATTGTCTGTTATTTTCTAGCCTATAGAACGTCAAACCTATCAGCTTAAATTTTAGCAGGTTTATAAGGGCACTTACTGAATCTAAGAAGTCTTTAAATTCAGAGTGTCTATAATATTACCAGAATTGTGATGAAGCTGGGTACAGTGGCACAGAATTGTAAAGATCTGTCACCAGTTCGAGGCCAGCCTGGACTATGTAGGGAGTTCAAAACCAGCCTGAACTTGACCACATACCAAGATCTTGCCTCAGAATAACAACAACAATCAAAACAACAAAATGGGTATGAATTTATGACTCTATTATGATGTCTTTAACTCTTTTGAGAAGAAACCTAGAAGGGGAACATTGGGTCAGATTTCTAATTTTAGTCCTTTGAAGAATCTCTATACTGATTTCCATAATAGTTATACTAGTTTACATTCCCAAAAACTATCTAGAGGGTTTCTTTTCCCTCACAGCCTAACCGGCAGTTATTATTTGGTTTCTTGATAGCCATTCTTCCTGGGATAAGAAGAAACCTTGGTGTTATTTTAATTTAGATTTCTCTAATGAAATACTGAACATCCTTTTCTTTCTTTCTTTCTTTCTTTTTTTGTCATTTGTACTTTTTCTGTGAAAGGAAAAAAAATGTGGCATTTACACACATTGGAGTAGTACTCCTGTGCCATAAAGAAAGATACACTTGAGTCATTTGTAAGGAAATGGGTGCACTTTGAGACCATGAGGCCATAATGTTAACTGAAATAAATCAGATGCAAGAGATTAAATATCACATGGTTCTCTTATATGAGAAACCCAAAATAGAAAAAAAGAGCAAACTAAAAGATAGATAATAGGAAGTATGGAGATATATTTTTCTCAAATGAGAAGGGGGATCAAGAGATTTGGGGGGGCTGCCAGGCATGGTGGAGCACGCCTGTTATCCCAGTGCTGAGGTAGGAGGAAGCGGGGGGAAGAGGATGAAAAGGAAATGCATTATGTGCATATGCCAACTCTAACCCCACAGGGATTGTGAATATTGTGTACTGGAAATATGATAATGAAAAATAAGAAAAGAAAGAAATCCAGAAAAGAATTACAAAGCAAAAAACAATTGTGATGGAAGCCAACAATTTTCTTTTTCCCTCTCTTTTCTTCTTTTCTCAGTCCCGGTCCCAGTTTTCAAAACTCTGCCAGCACCATAAACTTCCTGCAGCATATACTCTGTGGACTGACTATAACACCATAAGGCAGTAAACCCCAACTCGGCTTCTGTCTCCAGAACCTAGCTCAGTGTGGAGGCCAGACCGATGCCCATGTGCTGTTTAATTGACCGACTGCAGCAATACCACACACAGCAAAAGGATCCCTGCCTCTTCGAATCTTTGTCTCCTCAGCAGACTGTAGCTAGTTATCGTCCTTCTGTACTAATTCACCGGGAAGCATGAAAACAGCTGAATGGGAAATAAGTGCACATTTTACAATAAAAGGACACTCACAGAAGCTTATTTTAATAGTCTAACCCAAGCAATAATTTATGAGGGTCAAGAAGACAGTTTTCAAACAGCTGGACTTTTCCAGAACCTTAATACCATATCAAACAAACTGAAGCTTGGATCTCCTATAAATAAAAGCTATCTGACTTTCAGTATTACACGTTTTCTTTAGATTACTTACATTAGTTTGGTCTTGGTTCTGTGTGTAGTTGTATTAATTTTCCTGTGTAAGTTATTTTCCCTAATCTTAAATGTCAATAATTGTCCCTTTTTCCTCTTTTACATCAAAGCTAGACTTATAACCCCATGCTTTGATCCCTCAATGCTGCTTCCTCTCTGAAGTCTGCTTCTATATTTACTTCCTTTACATGCATATTTCCTAGGAATTTGGAAGTAACCCCAAAGATTTATTCTAGATCAAGTCTTTATTTTGTAAAAGAGGAAAAGGGAGCGTGGAAATGCTAGTGTCTGAATCTTGAGTTGCCAAAACACTGAGATCATGCTCTGTTCACTTTGTGCGTGTCTTTGAAACACATCTAATGATGTACCCCTCCATTGCCAGCTCCCCTTCTGACTTCTCCATGTCTGCTTGCGATCACCGTTCCACCAGGCCTTTTTAGATTAGAACAGATGATCTTGTCTTCAGGCCTTCACTTCCATTTTAGTTTGTCGCTCCTTATCTTTTTAGTCTAAACTAGCTCATAATGCATTTATACTTTATAACTGTGCTGCTATAATATGTTGCTAATAATTTCAGAGTCTCCAGCCTATTTCTTTTACAGGGAGCCTAGCAGAACCATCTTAATATAATTCAGCTTTTTATAATTATAATAAAATAGTGCTATTTTTTCTATATACAATGATATTCAACATCAATTTAGACTATCAATAAAATGTGAGTTTTTATTGGCAAGCTTTTCCAATTCTGAAATACTTACTAATAACTAGCTGTATGACCTTAGCATGTTCAAGTTCCATGAACTACAAAGTTCTTAGTCTGTTCACTGGTGCTATTACTTACTTATGTGCCTAACTTGTAGGGTACTTGAGAATTAAATGGGATAATAAGTGTAAAGTGCTTAAAACTGTTATAATCATTAATAGTATATACCAAGGCCTTATTATGGAACAAGCATTATCCTGAATTCTCTAAATGAATTATATTAACTCTATAACATAAATATAATTATTATTCTTAGGTAAGAAAAGTCAGGCTTATAAGAATCAAGAAACTTGCCTGGGGTCAACCAGATAAGTGGCTGAGGCAAGAGGCAAAACTCTGAAAACCTATATACCAGTCTGATAGACAGAATATAGAAAATGACCTGTTTTCCTGTTGTTTATTATTATTATTACTACCTTAAAGAAATAAAAATACTTCCTTCTGTTTTCAGATTTCTTTCCGGAATTTTAACACCACATTAGAAAATAATGACTAATTCTTTATAAACGTGCTGAGCACCACTTATTTCTGCTTCCTAAAGTAAAGCAGAAATTTTTCCCTGGTTGGGCATCATAATCACCTTGTTCTTCATCATTCCTCTTCTGTCTTCCATTATACAGTATTCTTAATAAAATGGGAATTATACAGACAATCCCTGATCCACACATAGTTCATAATTGCAGGCCAAATGTTTGTTTTCTGATTATTTCTTACAGTTTCTTTAGGACTTTCTCATGGGTAAGACCAGAAAATTCTGTGTTACCCTTTTTGGTTCTTTTTACCTCAGACATTTTTACCTCGACTGTTTAAGAAAGGAAATCTGTCTAGTGGCCTCCCAGAAAACAATTCTTTTGGTCTCTTCTATAGTATTTTATGACCTTCTTTTTACGCATGTTTACACCATGATCAACAAATGGTCTGATTTAACTATTTTCTACCCTTTGATGATGCTAAAAATTTAAAAAACCTTGTTTCTAGTCTTGAATTCCTTTTGCAGGTGTTCCCTGGATTCTTTGGACCATTACACTTCTGTGTTGTATGTGGTGCATCATGCCTTGCCTCTGCTCCCTGGCTTCCCTCAAGGGTGTGTGTGTTTCCCCCCAAGCATCTGGTTATTTATGTTTGAACATCTGGTCTTTTTGATTCATAGCAAAAATTGACCTTGGCCTTCTAATAATGAGGTTTTTATAGGTCCTAGAATCATAAAATGTTAAAGCCGGAAGGACTTTTGTAGATAACAGAGGCCAACAGTTTCCTTTTTTATAGTGAGAACCAAAACCCAGAAATGTAAGTGTCGCAAGCAAAGTTACAGAGCTTATGATGGGAGAAAGCTAGTACCAGCCCCCAAAGCTTCTTTGTTTGTTTCTTATGACTTGAATTAAGATACCTGGAAATTATAATATGAGCAATTCACATGTGCCTTCTCCCCAGGGGTTTAAGTTTTCATATTAGCAGTTTTCTGAAATGCATTTCCAGGAGGCACAGAAGAATGAGAATTCCGTGATTGAAAACTTTCAGGCACAAGAGGTCAAGAGTTACAGAGTTAGAACTGTGTCCTTTAGTGATTATCTTTTTTTCTTCAGTGGTACTTTGTATTGTGGATTTATATAGTGTACAATAGTCTCAAATTGTTTTTGAAAATGATAATTAATGACAACCAGGTCTCAGATTTCTCTGATTTCGGTCATTTCCTGCTCTTTTGTTTTCTACGGTCTCAGCTATTTCTAGGTTTCAAGCTTTCTGGAAGACCCAGCTCATCTAGTTTAGACCTCTTGATGAGGGTATGAGGTGAGTGTTTAAGCAGCTTTTTTCATAATGATGATGGTTATAACTTTAAGGGGTTGGTGATCCACCCCCAACTAATTATAGGTATTTTGAAATGTGAGAAAGTATGCTTCTAAAATGTTACCAGTTATTGCACAAAAGAAGCATTCTATGGCTAGTTTGGAAATTACTGGATGAAGCCAAGTTAAACAATTTAAGGTTGACTTGCTTTGTTTTTATATAGAATTGTTAAAACACTAATGTGAATCCTGAATTTCTAAAGTAGGAGGGTGATAAAATATGTAGAAGTCTTCAAATGTATTTAGTCATAAACTCATTTGTTTACTGGTTATTTTTCTAATGGGCTTGGTGTAATGTGGGGCCAGTTTTTGGGAAATGTTAAACATTGTTTGAGTTTCAATAAGTTATAGAGTGTGTACACTCAACTTGGGCTAAAACTATCTGTGTCAAATGATAAGAGACTTTTCCCATGCGTTGTTTCCTTCTGTGTAGTGAATGAGACTGTAACTCTTCTCCTGATGTAACATTTCAGGATTAGATGATGTTATTTCTCCGGCTAAATTTCTCCAGACAGAGAGATGATAAGTTGGTTAAGTCTGACCTCATATGCAAGCTGCTCAATTCCCATAATCATTTCAGCTGTTCTGTTTTAATCACATAGTTTTCAAAGTGCAGAGTAAAAAAGGTGAATTAACCATAGCAATAACAACTAGAAGTGTGTATTGTGACCTATAGTTTTGTTGACAACTTTTCATGTACTATCCCACTTGTCACTGCAACCTTATGAAAAGGTATCAATATTTCCATTTTGCACAGAACAGAACTTGAAGACAGCTAAGTGACTGCTCAGGCAGGTCCCATGTTAAGAGGATGGTAACGGTGGAGGCAGGATTAGAGGCAGGAGTAGAACTTCTGATTCACTTCAAATTCTTACCTTCAGTGTTGCTTCTACTTTTGCGTATATGCAGCACTGCTCTTAACCAAAATCCTCAGTCCAGCCTCAAAGTGCTGGATGTAGCGCACGGTGCACTCATTGGCAAAGAGAGATCAAGCAGTTTGCCTAAACTATTCGTGTAGTGAATAATGAACCTAAATTTTGAGACTTTCTCCGTCATATATCCAGATTGTTCATCAGGACCAGGTCAGTGCATTGGGTGAGTTCTCCCTCACCATGATGTCACCTCACTGGGCTTTCGAGCATCCCCACGAAGGTAATTTTGTCCACTCTCATCCCCACATTTGTTCTGTCCTCCCTAAGGTAAAAGTTAGACAGTATGTTTGTTGTCATTTGTTAACTTTATTGGTGTGACAGGGACGAAGGTCTCAACCCCGGCACTTTCCATTCAAACGTTGAAATCTCTGAAATTGATGCTCACTCCTACAGCCAGGGAGTTTGCACAGCGGCTGCAGAGGTGTGGGAGGGCGGTGAGTACTGGGCTTGCACCGAGGCCACACCTCTGTCCCAGCGCCTGGAAGTGGCTGTTGGAAACCGCCTTTTGGGGAGGCCCAGGAGGCCACCAAAGGGACTTTATGAGATAAAACTAGCCTCCTGCCCGGGGGGCCCTGAGTCTGCGGAGAGAGACTGAACTCCCTAAGGTCCCTGCGCTGTGGACGGCTGCAGGCCGCCTGCAGAGACCAGCGGTACTGACCTCTGCGCAGCCAGGCCCAGGAGCGGCCCCCAGCCAGGCCGCAGAGCCGGCTTTCCGGAGGGGTTTCCTCTGGACCTCCTCACGTCTGGTTTGCATGCTGCTGCTGACCAGAAGGCCCGGACGTCTCGGACCCTGGCTCTCAGGTGGCCGAAGCCGGTCCCCAAGGAGAAAGTGAGCTGGCCGGGGGTGGCCCTGTCCAGCCGGAGACACTGCCCCAAGCCCGCGTGGGCAGATCCCACGTGGGTGAAAGGGACTTCTCTGCTTAATGAAAAGGACGGCCCTGTGGACAGAAGGAGCCAGCAGGATGCACGAAGGTGCAAACGGGAGGCCCCGAGCTCCCGCGGCCCGCGGGCTGGTTGGCAGTGGCCTTTTGGGACGCTGGGCCCCAGTCACCGGCAGACCCATCTAGACCAGGTGGAAAAGCAAGGGGAACAAGTTACAAAGTTACAAAGCAAGGGAAACAAAGTTACACATGCTGGTTCTGGAAACAACACACTGGTGTTCATAGCCATCCAAAGGAAGGGCCGTGGGGAGTGGGCCGCCCAGCAGGGATGGTCAATGCGGGAGGGCAGGTCTGTGCTGCGCTGGAGAGGGCCTTTGGCGAGGAAGCCAGGGACTCCTCACAGAAATGTGGAGCCGAGAGGCAGGAACTAGAGAAACAACTGCACAGACTCCAGCAAGAGCGTTTCGTGGTCTATAAAGGTTACGTGGATGATCCTCGAAACACAGATAACAACGTGTGGATAGAAACAGAGTCTGCGAACCACCATGATGAAAC